GGGAGGGGGGAGGAGATCGGAAGCTCGGGCAGAACAGGGCGTTCTCCGCATGCGCAGAGGATGCCCTGACGCGGATGCCCAGCGGAGGAACGGGGGGGAGCCCAGGCTGGGAAGGCAGATGGGGGAGGAGGGACAGGGAGGGAGGGAGGAGCGGAGGCTGCCAAGGGGCGGGGCCTGCAGTGTGGCCTCGCCTGGCCCCGGGTGCTACCCAGCAGCTTCCCGCCAGGCAGGAGCAGCCCAGAGTGGGGGGGGGCTGCCTCCCAAGAGGGGGAGACGAGCGCCCGCTTCCCCCAGAGCACGAGAGGAAAGACGGGGTGGGGGTGGGGGGAAGCAGGCGGCCTGCAGGAGGGCAGCACCGGGGCGGCTGAAGAACCGGGGCACCCATGAGCGGCGCCAGATCCGCCTGGCAGCAGCAGCAGCAGCAGCCTGACCAAACCCCGCGCTGCAAGCCTGGCGGAGCGCAAACCGCGATCGCCGCCTGCCTCCGGGATCACGAGGTGAGCTGCGGAAGGATGTCCGCTGCCATTCCGCTATTTTAGTCACTGGGACAAAGAATGCCCTAGGTTTTCTCTAGCCGCGCAGGGGTGGGCAAGCTTGGCGCTTTTAGGACTCGTGGACTTCAACTCCCAGAATTCCTGAACTAGCCGTGCGTGACTGAGGGATTCTGGGAGTTGAAGTACACAAGTCAGGAAAGAGCCAAGGTTGCCTAGCCCTGAGGCTCTACCTAGCGCAGGGGTAGGCCACCTTGGCTCTTTTAGGACTCGTGGACTTCAACTCCCAGAATTCCTGAGCCAGCCATGCTTGACTGAGGAATTATGGGTATTGAAGTCGACAAGTCTTCATATGAAAGAGCCAAGGTTGCCTAGCCCTGGGGCTCTATCTAGTGCAGGGGAAGGCAACCTTGGTTCTTTTATGACTCGTGGACTTCAACTCCCAGAATTCCTGAAGCAGCCATACGTGACTGAGGAATTATGGGTGTTGAAGTCCACAAGTCTTCATATGAAAGAGCCAAGGTTGCCTAGCCCTGGGGCTCTATCTAGTGCAGGGGAAGGCAACCTTGGCTACCCTTGACCTAGTGTGATCTGTTTTTGACAAAGACACGTTGGCTTCTAGTAAGAGCTTTGCTGCTTTCTAAGTATCCACAGATTCCTTGCTTCATTATCTTTCCCAGGATCTTCCCAGGTATTGAGGTCAGGCTGATTGGTCTCTAATTTCCTGCATCCCTGATTTTTTTCTCTCTCTCTTTGTAGTATTTTATAAAATGTATAGGGAAAAGCAAGAAAAGAGAATAAGAAATTGTTTACGCTAACCTGAACTCTCTTCCCTCCCCTCTTGCTTGTGCGATGCCTTAATTTTGGGGATTCCCTATAGGTACCCCTCGTCTTATGACCACAATTCAGACCAGAATCTCAGTCTTTGAGAGAAGCGGCCATTAAGTGAGGTGTCACATGACCGCTTTGTTCAAAGACTCAGATCCTGCACTCGTGGTTGTGGTGGTTAAGCTACTTCACAAGCAGACAAAGTCCCAGTTAAGGAATGTGGGGTTGCCTGAAGTGGGCAGGGGAGGCCCTGTGAGTCCTGGCACAGGGAATGTGGAAATTGAGGGGGCCCTGAAGAAGGTTAGAGATGCTTTGGGACACGTTGCTTAGCAACAGTATGGAACAGGCGGCTTGGAAAATGTCGCAAGGCTGCAAAGGCCTCCGGTCTGGGGATTAAGGCCTCATTTCTCAATGGCAGCAGAGACAGTGGGCTGAGGTCCAGTCCTGGGGTCAGTGGCAGATGGCTGAAATGGCTGAGGGCCCCAGGCCTGCACTTGACGCAATCCCAGCATTGTTGTCAATCAGGGCTCAGGCTTCCAGGAGTGGCTGCAGCTTTGCATCCCGCTTCATCACCCCTGAACTCATGGGGGGGCTGTTCCTGGTCTCTAGGACCTCCCCCACCCCTGAGATGCCCCCAGGATCATTGCCTGCCCCTCCCCCCATTAAGAACCCTCAAGATCACTTCATGATTGCAACCAGGAATGTGGGATTATGGTTGTGGAGCGACATGCTCATGTGACCCCTCACCCGACCACTGCTTCAAGGAACGACCAAAATTCCAGTCCCGACTGTGGTTCTAAGTGGAGGACATCTCTCCTACAGATGTAGGGCCTCCCATCACTGTCTCGGGTGTACTGAGGACCCTACCCTGGGCAGAGGGTGAGACTGGAAGACCTTCAAGGTCCCTCCCCAGGCTGAGATTTTGTGATTCTCTACATGTCTCGAAAGGAAATAGTCTCAATTTGTTTTTTCATTCTAACGGCAGATAAAAGATTGTAACCAAAGATTTACCTGCAAGTCAACTATCAACAGATAACAGAAAATCAGCACAAGGCAGCAGTCGCCAGAAAGAATGAAGGGTGGGAAACTCTTGGATGCCCCGTCAGACACAAGCAGCACTACGGAAAACCACAAAAAACCCCATCAATGCTCAGAGTGTGAGAAATCCTTTGCTCGCAGGTGTGTCCTTTTGACCCACAGGAAGATCCATGTGGGAAGTGGATCCAGTCAAGCTTTGGAGGGTGAGAAATCCTTCTCTGGAAAACACATGAAAAATCTCAGACGCCCCCCCAGACTAAAACCTCATAAATGTGAGGAATGTGACTTATGCTTTGGTAAAAAGTCACAACTTCTTAGACATCAGAAAATCCACACTGGAGAGAAACCTTATCAGTGTGTGGAATGTGGGAAATTTTTCCGTGAAAAAGCCCAACTGGGAAACCACGAGAGAATTCACACAGGGGAGAAACCTTACAAGTGTTGGGAATGTGGGAGGAGCTTTTCTCGGAGTTCATGTCTTTGGGTCCATAAGAAGGTTCATGCAGGAATAAAATCTTACAAATGCTTTGAGTGTGGGAAATGTTTCGTCCAGAGTTCAGGTCTTCGGACTCATGAGAAAACACACAGAGAGAAGAAGGAAAAGTGCCTCGAATGCGGGAAATGTTTTTTCAGAAAAGGAAATCTCGTACTACATCAGAGAATTCACACTGGAGAAAAACCCTATGAATGCCCAGAATGTGAGAGACGATTTACGAATTCTTCTGAACTTCGGACACACCAGAGGAGGCACAAAGGGGAGAAACCCTACCAATGTGGGGAGTGTGGGAGAAATTTTTTTACGCGAGATGGGTGTCAGAGTCATGAGAGAATCCACACGGGGGAAAAACCACACAAATGTGGGGAGTGTGGGAAATCCTTTACCCGAAAACAAAACCTTTTACTGCATCAGAGGGTCCACACAAGAGAGAAGCCGTACAGATGCGTAGAATGTGGAAAATGTTTTACTCAAAAGGGAAGCCTTTGGACGCATCATAAAACCCACACAGGGGAGAAGCCATATCAATGCATTGAATGTGGAAAATTTTATTCTACCACATCAGCCCTTAGAACTCATGTGAAAATTCACACGGGGGAAAAAAACTACAAATGTTTCGACTGTGGGAGAACATTTGCTCGGTCATGTCACCTTAGCTGTCACAGCCGAATCCATACAGGAGAGAAGCCCCATAAATGCTCGGAGTGCGATGAATGTTTTTCTCAGAAAAGTACTCTTTTGAACCACCAGCGAATCCACGCTGGAGAAAAACCACACAAATGTCTGGAGTGTGGGAAACACTTTGCCCTTCTTTCATCACTTCGCAGGCACGCCCGAAATCACTGAAAAGAGTGGCCTTACAAGTGTGTAGAGTGTGAGAAAACGTTTCATTGTACATCAAAGCTAAAAATTCCTCAGAAAGTCCACAGTAGAGGTATGTGAACAATGTGGAATACATTTTTTTTTCAAACTTCACACCTTACTGCTCACCTGGAACTTCACAGAGTGACAGAAGGGAAATCCTACTAATGTTACTTTGTCTAGTCAATTAACTTTCAATAC